AAAGGGGTCAGTAAAATGGAGGCTTTAGGGCATCTGGACTGTGATCACCTTGCAGTACTGTTGCAAAGATGCAGCAAGTTCTCATCCTACACGGTTTGGACCAGGCTCAATGATCAGAATCAGGGAGTCTTCAATTGGCCCCTCCAGTCCCCCCTCCCACTAAAGTTAATGGGAGCTACTGGAACCCATCAGATGGCTGCACCAGTGTTCCCAAGAGGACAACCAGGCGCTAGTTTCCTCTCACGGGGGGACAACTCAGGTTCACACAGCAAGGTCATGGTCCTGCTGCAAAGCCGCCAGTTTTTCTGAGAGCTGAAACCTCTCTATGTGTCTTCCCCTCCCCAGCCTGGCCAGGTCATGCTCCTGCTCACTCTCAGGGGCTCCCACTCCCCCATCAAACCTGGGTGGAGTAGGGACCCTCTCCTTGTTGCTAGGTGGCTGGGCAAGCCACTTCCCCTCCCCAAGCCTTGGTTTACAACCCATTGTAAAATGGGTTGATGATAGGACCTCCAGTCTAATGAGGACAGAGGTAGAGTCTGAAAGATACTCCTCAGTCAGCACCAACCATTCTTTTATGGTAGTTTCCTCTCTGCCAGTCTGGCTGCCTTTCAGGTGACATAAGAAACTTCCGGTGCTCCTTACCTCTTCTCCACCCTCGCCAGTCTCACCTCCTGTCGGATGGTAGAAATATGTTCTGGTGTTTTCCCTTCATACTCATAATAGTTTTGAGTTTTTATCTATTTTGCATGATTAATCCATGTGGAATTTATTTTGCTATGTGTTGGGAGTGGAGTTAACTTTTTTCCATCCTAATGCAATCAAGACTACTGACAGATTGATTTATCCTTTCCCCACCCTCTGAAAATTCCACATTTATCATGTGTTAAATTCTTTATGTATAAAATTCACAAATTAATTTTTTAAATACATGCACCTGGAAAACTCTAAGCTACAGTTTTACTTTCAGTCTTAGCTATCTTTTTCCTTTTTTTAGATTTTATTTATTTATTCATGAGAGGCAGAGACACAGGCAGAGGGAGAACCAGGCTACCCCCAGGAAGCCGGATGTGGGACTCGAACCCGGGATTCCGGGATCATGCCCTGAGTCAAAGGCAGATGCTCAAGCGCTGAGCCACCCAGGCATCCCTATCTTATTATTTTTAAAAAGATTTTACTTATTTATGAGAGACACAGAGAGAGAGAGGCAGAGACATAAGCAGAGGGAGAAGCAGGCTTCCCGCAGGAAACCCGATGTGGGACTTGATCCCAAGACCCTGGGATCACACTCTGACCTAAAGGCAGATGCTCCACCACTGAGCCACCCAGGCATCCTCTTTTTTTTTTTTAAATATAAGATTTTATTTATTTATTCATGAGAGACACACAGAGAGAGGCAGAGATATAGGCCGAGGGAGAAGTCAGCTCCCCGAAGGGAGCCTGATGTGGGACTTGATCCCAGGACCCCGGGATCACGCTCTGAGCCAAAGTCAGACGCTCAATCATGAGCCGCCCAGGTGCCCCAGCTATCTTTTAAAAAAACATTTATTTATGTGTGAGAGAGAGAATGTGTGTGCATGCCTGCATGTGTGCATGTAAATGGGGTGTGTGGGGGCGGGGTGGGGAGGTAAGTGGGGGCAGAGGCAGAGAGAGAATCCCAAGCAGCCTCCAAGCTGCACAGAGCCCACAGGGGGGCCTCCACCTCAGGACTCTTAAGATCATGGCCTGAGCTGAAATCAAGAATCAGACATTTGACCAACTGAGCCACCTGGCTGGCCCCAGTCTTCACTATCTATATATACATGGTTTATATACTGTGGTTATTCATTCAACAAACACTGAGTGCCAGGTGCTATTTCAGGCCCTGGAAACAGTTGTGAACAGAACAGGCATAAATTCCTGCCCTTGTGCTGCGAACAGGCAAGGGGGCAGGCTGTAAACAAGCAATAAGTAAATGTGACATGTCAGGTGGTAATAAAAAAACAATAAAATAAAATAGGGTGATGAGATATAAGGGGAAGGGTTGCTGTTTGGGATGGTCAGAGAAAGCCTCTCTGAGGAGGGATGATCGAGCAGAGGCCTGAGTGAAGTGGAGCCACATGGACCTCTCTGGGAAGAGATTTCTAGGTAGAGGGAACAGCTAGTGCAAAGGTCCTGAGGTGAGATCATGCCTGGTGAGTTTGCGGTTTAGCTAATGAGGCCAGTGAAGCTGAAACAAGCAAGGAAAAGGGGAGAGAGGGAGGAGATGAGGCGGAACTTGGGGGTTATATGGTGAAGAGTTGGGTTTTTCTTCTGAGTGAGGTGGGAGCCATAGAAGGTTCTGGGCAGGGGAACATACCCTGACTCAAGTGTTCACAGGCTTCTCTGGCTGCTATGGAAGGAACGGATGGGGGGGTGGGGGGTGGGAGAGCAGAGTGGAGCTGCCTACACTGGTCCAGGCAGAAAACCACAGCTGTGTGACAAGGGTGGGGGTGAGAAGTGCCCGGATTCTCAATGGATTCTGAAGGCAGACCTGGTGTGATGGAAAGAGACGCATGGCAGGTTTCTGGTCTGAGCACTTGGGGTGACAAAGTGCCTTTTCTGAGCCGGGGCACGTTGGGGAAGCTGAGAGGCTTGGATCTGGCTGGGCTGAGTGTGAGACACTCATGAGACTTCCAGGAGACAGGTGTCACAAGGGTGTGCGGCTCAGGGGACCAACGTTTGGGAATTGCCAGGGTGGCGCTGGTGTTGAAGTCCTGAGTCTGCAGGAGTGTCCCCGAGGGACCTGGTGTAGCTGGGAAGAGGCCGCAGCCTGTCCCTGGCCCGCTTTTTTTGTCCACTGCTGGGACTGGGTGGGTGGGACCGGCCTTGGGGTTGGCAGAGACCACGGGAACCACAGGGTTTCTTTGGGAGGCCTGGTCACCCAAGGGCATGGCTGGGAGCCTTGAAGCTCTCCTCTTTGCTAAAGCCTGTGGGCCAGGGGTCAGCTGGGGCTTCCACCGCTGGAGGTCCCTGGGGGGACAGTGCCTTCCTCCAGGGGGCAAGCTGAGTTAGTGACCAGAGCCCTGCCAGGGGATGCTTGACTCTGAGATAGCAGCTACAGTTATTGAGCACCAACTGTTTATGACCACACTGTATAACCCCACTGCTGACGTGTGCCTCACACTGAATATATATTTCTCTTGATTGTGGCACCAACTGTATAATCGACTATGCTGTGAAGTGTACAGCTGGCCTCAAAGAGCTGTTGGGGGGTACAGTTAGAACAGGCACATGATCGAGGGAGCATACAGTTGGCTTGGGGAGTGAAGGTTGGTGTGGGGAGTATAGTATGGGCGGCAGAGCCAGCTGACTGTGCACAACACACTGGTTGAATACCCTCACGCTGGCTATACAACTCTTTGCTGACTGTATACCTTGCACCAGTGTATACCTCCACCCCTGCTGTGTACCCCCACAGTGATTAAACCCTCATGGCAACTGTATATGTCTGTGTTGGCTGTATGCCTCCACAACTATATAATGCCACTCCACTCTGCATGCCCTGTACCAGTGGTCCCTCCATACCTACTGTATACCCCCACATCAGTTAAACACCAACTGTAAATTGCCATGCCAACTGTATACTGTATATCCTGTTATCCTGTGATGGCTCTTTGCCTAGTTTTGATTTTATTTTATTTTTTAAAAGATTTTATTTATTCATGATAGAGAGGGAGAGAGAGAGAGAGAGTGAGAGAGAGGCAGAGACACAGGCAGAGGGAGAAGTAGGGTCTATGCAGGGAGTCCGACTCAGGACTCGATCCCGGTACTCCAGGATCATGCCCTGGGCCAAAGGCAGGCGCTGAACCCCTGAGCCACTAGGGTTTTGATTTTATACTTTAGCCTCGTTTCACCGTGCAGGGGGCTCAGGGCAGGCAAGACACTGGCTGGATTGTCCTCTGGCTTGGATAGGGCAGAAGGCACATTTGAATCTCGGGCCATGTGGTTTGGATGTCAGCTCCACAAGGACAGAGCCACAAAATTGGGTCTCTCATCTGCCACCGTCTGCTACTGTACTCAATGCCCAGCTCTGGGCCAGCACCCAGTAGGCGCTCAATACATACTTGTTCTACAAAACAATAGCTTCAAGATTCACTACTGGGAAGTGTGCAGGGATGGTGAGCTCAGGTGTGTAGCCTTGCAGGCCACGAAGGGCGATGCCAGGCAGGGATGTGGCATCTGGGCTGCCAGTCCCATTTTTTCCAGTCTTCAACAGACTAGCGATGTGGGTTTTTTTTTTTTTCTTTTTAAGTTTTTATTTATTTATTCATGAGAGGCACAGAGAGGGTCAGAGACAGAGGCAGAGGGAGAAGCAGTCCCCCCTTGGGGAACCTGATAGGAGACTCGATTCCAGCTCCCCGGGATCATGACCTGAGCTGAAGACAGATGCTCAACCACTGAGCCACCCAGATGCCCGATGTAGGTTTTTTTTTTTTTTCCGATGTAGGTTTTTATATGCAGTTTCCCAATATTTAACTGTTGGCATTTCATTAAAAATAAATAAATCAATAAATAATAAAATATAAAATAAAATAAAATAAAATAAAATAAAATAAAATAAAATAGCAGACCAAAATAAAACGCGTCCACTGGCTTGAGAGTTTTCAGCGCAAATACTCTGTATTTGGGAGTTTGGGTTCAGCCATCTGCCGGGGTTGCGGCGCCCACGTCTAGGGTCCCCCCTCCCTGCGCCTCACTTTCCGCACCTGGAGGATGGGGCGACGGGAGGCGCCCTCCCGGGCTGAGCCGCGTTGCAGGCGGCGCCGCCGGGTGGGAGGGGGTGAAGCCCGGGATGGGGGGGGCGGGGGCTGGGCGCGGCTCGGCGGAGCGGACGGGGCTAAATCGGGCGGCGGGTGAGTGGCGGGAGCAGCTGCCGCCCCGCCCGCCCCCCCCGCCCCCTCCCCGTCCGCCGGCCAGTCGGTCCCGAGGCCGCCGCTCCGCTAGGGCCGGTCAGACCGGTTTGGGCCGCCCCGCCTGGCTCCCGGCTGGGAGGAGCCGCCGCCGCCGCCGGTCGGTCGGTCCGTCCCTCGCCCGGACGCCCGCGCTTCCAGACCCGGGGCCAGGGGGCTCGGGGCGGGCGGCGGGCCGCGGGGATGGGGGGCGAGCGGCAGCATTACTACGGGAAGCACGGTAGGCGGCGCCCCCCTCGCGCACCCGGGCCCGGCCGCCCGGGGGGGGGGGGGACCCCGCGGGGAGCGGGAGTGGGGCGCAGGCCGGGAGCCCCTGCCCCGCGCGAGCCAGCGCCCCTCCCCGGGCCGTCCTGGGGGGCCCCCTGCAGAGCCCCCTCCCTGGGCCGCCTGTCTCTGTAGCCCCCTCCGCAGTCCTCCCGCTGGAACCTTCTCCACATCCCACCTTGGACCCCCCGCCCCTCCCCGGCTCCCCGTCCCCGGTCCAGCCCCGACCTCCGCGGGCGGGCCACGGGGGATACTCGGGGCTGCTCTCCATCAGCGACTGCTCCTCCTGACTTGGCCTTGCCCCCATTGGGGGCAGGGACGTGGTGGCCTGGAGGTGGGATGAGGCCTCAGGACAGGACTCCTCCCTGGGCCAGAGATACTCCGAGGGACTTCTGGGGGAGGGTGGTCTTGCAGCCCCTTCTTGGTCCCCCTGCTCAATCTCGCTGTTTTCAGGGACACCGCAGAAGTATGACCCTACCTTCAAAGGACCCATTTATCACAGGTAAGGGCTGGGGTCGCTGGGAGGGGAGGGGGTCTCTGCTAGCAATCCCAACACCCCCGTTTCTTTACTCACCCACCCCCCAACCACACTTCTGCTCTCCAACAAACTGGTGATCAGTATTTGCGACTTGACAGTTAAAAGAACTAAGTTCCTCAGGATACAAAGTCTTTATAAATGAATTTTTAAACTCAGGCAAAAGACTGAAAGAGAATTTCTAGAACAAGAAATACCATAGCAGACCGTGTAGTTATGGGGAAATGTGCAAACTCACTGAAAGGTAAAGGAATGAGATTTGAAACAATAACCAAGTAGGGTTACCCCATCACAGGGGCACCTGGGTGGCTTAGTCTTTAAGTGTCTGCCTTCGGCTCAGGTCATGATCCCAGGGTCCTGGGATCCAGCCCCACCTGCTGAGCTGGGAGCCTGCTTCTCCCTCACTCTCTTCCCCTCTCCTCTGCTTGTGCTCTCACTTGCTATCTCTTTCTCTCTCTCAAATAAATAAAAATCTTAAAAATAAAAAAAAGCATTTCCCCATCATGGATTAGCAAAGATTAAAAAGATTGGCACATATGCTGCTCTGAATCTAAGTGGCTCAGTGGCTTTTGGAGGGAATTGGGAAATATAAAATTTTTAAAAATTGTATTTATTTATTTTTATTATTTTTTTGTATTTATTTATTTAAGCACGAGAGACTGCACCTAGGTACGGTGGGGGGGGGGGGAGGATGGGGAAGGGAGAGAGAGTATCCCAAGTCGACTCTGTGCTGATCCCACTACCCTGAGATGATGACCTGAGCTGAAACCAAGAGTGCGATGCTTAACCAACTGAGTTACCTAGGTGACTCAAAATATGAATTTTTAAATGTGCAGCTCTTTGTTCCAAAGAATAAAATTCTAGGGAAACAAAATTCTCCATAAACCTGGCATACCTGGATAAAAATGTATGGTGTAGCTGCCTTTTTGAAAATGGCAGAAACCAACAATCTGAATGTTCATCCGTTGGAACTAGTTTGATAAGTTACTCTTGAGCACAGGGTCATGAGTTCCAGCCCTAGGTTGGGTGTAGAGATTACTAAAATAAGTAAATAAATAAACTTAAAAAAGAAAAGACTCACAAGAAATCATTAACAGAGGTTACTTATAGGGAGAGAGGCTGCGTGGGTGACTTATTTTAATATTGCATGTATTCCTGTATGGAATTCTTCATGTTTAATCTTATAGTAATAAAAAGAGCTTAAATTATGTATGGATGTATGTATTTTTAAAATAATTTAAATTTTAAAAAACATTTAATACCTGTTGCTATTCAAGGTGGGGGGAAATGAGCACTCTCAAAAGAGAGCTGAACATTGTGTCCAACTGCTTCAAGAACACTGTAGCATTAGGTATCAACATGTAAGTTGTGTGAGACTGGCTCAGTCCCTGGAGTAGGTGATTCCTAATCTTAGGGTTGTGAGTTCGAGCCTGGTGTTGGGTGTAGAGCTTGCTTTAAAAATAAATAAATAAATAAGAATAAAATGTAGGTGCTTTTTGGTACAGCATTCACACCACAGGGACATATGTCCAAATAACATAAGGATGTAGGTATATGTCCAGGGCAAGATGGGGTTCATGATACACAGGGCCCCAAGGCTCCCACCCTGATGCTGTTCCCTGTTCTCCAGGGGCTGCACAGACATCATCTGCTGTGTGTTCCTCCTCCTGGCCATAGTGGGCTATGTGGCTGTAGGCATCATAGGTGAGTGGAGGGGGGCCCAGGATTGGGGTTCCAAGGTGGGAGGACAAGCCACAGCCTCTAGGGCAGAAATGGGGATGGTGCTGAAGAATGGCAGTGCCTCAGTGTCCCTGGATCCCTCCACAGCCTGGACCCATGGGGACCCTCGGAAGGTGATCTACCCTACTGATAGCCGAGGCGAGTTCTGCGGGCAGAAGGGCACAAAAAATGCGTGAGTCTGGCTCCTTGGGGACCTGGTGGGACTGGAGAGGTGTGGGCAGGATGGATTCATGAGCACTGGGGAGAAGGTTCTAGGTTTCCCCCACCTCCACTATCCATTAGTTCAGTCAACAAATGCTTATAAAGCTCCCACCATCCATCCCCAACCACTGCTCTAGGCTTTGAGGACACTGCACTAAATGAGACATTAAGAGTCTTGTCCTCTGGTAGCTCACAATTTAGGGGAGGGACTGAGAGGAGACAGTCCCTGATCTGATGTCAGGTGGGGATGAACAGTGAGCTAAAGGTGATTCAATCCAGGCTGTGCCAGCCACTCTCTGGCTGTGTGAGCTGGGACAAGTGTCTCAACCTCTCTGGGCCTCATTTTCCTCATCTCTGAAATGGGGATCATCACAGTCCCACCCTCAGGAGGCTGTTGGGCTGGATCAATGAGCCAGTAGGCAGAGCTTAGAAGAGCTTGGGGTTGCTGCTACTAGAGTTGGTTGCATTAGATATTTTACATCAGGAGGTTGAGAAACCTTGACAGTTTTCATCTCCCTCCCCCAACCCTAGGAACAAACCCTTCCTGTTTTATTTCAACATCGTGAAGTGTGCCAGCCCCCTGGTCCTGCTGGAATTCCAGTGTCCCACCCCTCAGGTAATTTGGCCATTTCCCATCTTCTTTGCTACCCCTGCTTTCCATTACCAGGTCATTTTCTCCCTCTAGGGACAGCTGCTCTTGGCCTTTTCTTTTCCCTGGTGAATGGGAGGTGGGGCCTCTGTCCTGGGTGGGGCCCGGGTGTCTATCTTGATCCCACCCAACCCGGCCTCCTGCCCCCCAAGATCTGCGTGGAGAAGTGCCCCGACCGTTACCTCACCTACCTGAATGCTCAGAAATCCCAGGACTTTGAATACTACAAGCAGTTCTGTGTGCCTGGCTTCCAGAACAACAAGGTGAGGGGAGCCTAGGTAGGGGCGGGTGCAGGGTGCTGAGCTGGGGCATTAACCCCCTCCCTTTCTTGCTAGGGTGTGGCTGAAGTGCTTCGGGATGGCGACTGCCCTGCTGTACTCATCCCCAGCAAACCTTGTGAGTCTGGGGTTCTAGAAACCAAGTGGGGGGCGGCCGGGGTGGGTGGGTGGGTGGGGTTTCAGGGCCTCGGCCTGACTGGTCTCATTCCCTGCTCCATGCAGTGGCCCGGCGATGCTTCCCAGCCATCCACGCCCACAAGGGAGTCCTCATGGTGGGCAATGAGACGACCTACGAGGATGGGCATGGCTTTCGAAAAAACATCACAGAGCTGGTGGAGGGAGCTAAGTGAGGACCGTGGCCCACCACATTGGCGTCCTACTTTCTGGGGTGGGCCAGGGCATCCCCTGGGGCTGGCCCAATCAGGGAAGGGCTCTCACACGAGTCTTGTTGCCTGTCCCCAGGAAGGCCAACGGGGTCCTGGAGGCCCGGCAGCTGGCCATGCGGATATTTGAAGATTACACGGTCTCCTGGTACTGGATAGTCATGTAAGTTGGGGAGGAGTGTGGTCCTCCCAGTCTGTGTAGGCTGAGGCTGGTGAGAGGATGCGGTCTGCCCATGCCCTCATTTTATCCCCAGAGGCCTGGTCATCGCCATGCTGATGAGCCTCCTCTTCATCGTCCTGCTCCGCTTCCTGGCCGGCATCATGGTCTGGGTGATGATCATCATGGTGATTCTGGTGCTGGGCTATGGTACGTCTCCCACTCCGTGACCCCTCCCCACCCCGCAGTCTACAAAACGCCAGTGCTCCTTGACCTGCCAGTGGCCCTCAAGAATCTTGTCCTAAACCATCAGACATTCTCTGGCTTTTATTTGGCCTATTTGTGAGGAAGTTCATCTCGGCATTGTCTATGGGAGCAGTACTTGGAAACAACCTCAGTGTTTCTCGATGGGGATGAGTTAAATTGTAGCCTTCCAGATGGGGCCTGGATCTGTACTTTACCCCAAAAAAGCATTCTCAAGGAGACCACTTAGCACAATGGTTACAGATGGGTGCTCTGGTACCAGACGGCTGGGGATGAAGTGCTGGCTCTCCCGGTTCCCTCCTCTGTGACCTCAGGCAGGTGATTCAACCTCCCTGTACCTCAATTTCTTCCTCTGTAAAGTGGGGATAATTGGTATTTACTAGTTAGGAGGCTTAATGAGAAAAAGCATGCAGATGAGGTGGGGGGAGGGTCCTGTAGATCTCGGGCTTGTGGCAGCCAGAGGCAATGCACAAAACTCAGTGCTTCACATTCTGATTATTCAGATAAATATTCCCAGGGGGAAGATGTCTGATAGGCAACCCAAGGTGAAGACGTAGATATTAAGATACTCATGTTAATGGTGGTTTTTAGCTGAGTGGTGGTTTTTGAGGCAAATGGTTTTAGTTTGTTTTGTTTTTAAGATTTTAGTTTTAAGAAATCTCCACCCAGTGTCAGACTCAACTCACGACCCTCAGATCAAGAATCTCATGCTCTCATGACTGAGCCAGCCAGGCCCCTTGTTTTTCTTTTCTTTTCTTTTCTTTTCTTTTCTTTTCTTTTCTTTTCTTTTCTTTTCTTTCTTTTCTTTTCTTTTCTTGGATTTTATTTATTCATTCATGAGAGACACAGAGAGAGAGAGAGGCAGAGACACAGGTAGAGGGAGAAGCAGGCTCCATGCAGGGAGCCCGACGCGGGACTCCATCCTGGGACCTGGGTATCATGCCCTGAGCCAAAAGAAGACACTCAACTGCTGAGCCACCTAGGCGTCCCTATTTTTTTTTTATTTTACTTTATCTGCATTTTACAATTTTATTCTACAAAGAGCTAAGGAAAATATTGAAAATCCCTAATGCCACCCCACTGAACGTTAATACCCACATCCTCCATCCCCACCCATGAATCATCGTTACTGGGTGGCCAGGAAAGCCTCAGGTTACATAGCATCCTGGCACCTATTCAGCCACTCATTTACACATGCATGCATCAAACCTGTATTGAGTGTCTGTATGTCCTGGGCAGTTTTCTAGGTCTGGGGTGTGAGCAAGAAATAATAAACCTGGGCAGCCTGGGTGGCTCAGTGGTTTAGCACTGCCTTTAGCTCAGGGCCTGAACCTGGAGACCCGGGATCGAGTCCCATGACAGGCTCCCTGCATGGAGCCTGCTTCTCCCTCTGTCTGTGTCTCTGCCTCTGTGTGTGTGTGTGTGTCTCTCATGAATAAATAGATAAGATAATTTATAAATAAATAAATAAATAAATAACCAGGGGACGCCTGGCTAGCTCAGTCTGGGGAGCCTGCAACTCTTGATCTCCGGGTTGTGAGTTCAAACCCCATGTTGGATACAGATTACTACAAACAAAATCTTAAAATAATAATAATAATAAACCAGAAAAACCTCTAGAAGGTCCAGAGAGAAGGGATAAGACATTGAGGGTGAGGGGGTGCATTTCGAAATGGGAAAAATGGTTTGGGAAGGTCTTATTAGAAGGTGACATTTGAGGGATCCCTGGGTGGCGCAGCGGTTTGGCGCCTGCCTTTGGCCCAGGGCACGATCCTGGAGACCTGGGATCGAATCCCACGTCAGGCTCCCAGTACATGGAGCCTGCTTCTCCCTCTGCCTATGTCTCTGCTTCTCTCTCTCTCTCTCTCTCTGTGTGACTATCATAAATAAATAAAAAATTAAAAAAATTAAAAAAAAAAAAGAAGGTGACATTTGGGTAGAGATAGGAGAGTGTGAGGAATCCAGTACTAAGCAGCAGGAACAACAAATACAAAGGCTCGGAGGCAGGGCTCACTCCCCTAAGCATCTGACTCTTGATTTCGGCTCAGGTCATGATCTCAGAGTCCTGCGATCAAGCCCCCACATCACATCAGGCTTCCCGCTCAATGGGGAGTCTGCTTGGGATTCTCTCTCCCTCTCCCACTGACCTTTACCCCCTACTCTCCCCCCCCCCGCCCCCAAGGAATAAATAAATAATCTTGATAAAGGCTAGGAGTCAGGAACAAGCAATGTCAGCCCCTCTCAGCTTTGGTTTTTGCTTCTGCTCACTGGGGGTGCTCCTACCTGCTTTGCAATGTTGGGGGAGCATTTGGTGGACTGAGGTCGGTCCCCTGTGCAGGTATATTTCACTGCTACATGGAGTACATGCGACTGCGAGGCGAGGCCGGCTCTGACATCTCCCTGGTGGACCTTGGCTTCCAGACCGACCTCCGCGTGTACCTGCATTTGCGGCAGACGTGGATGGCCTTCAGTGAGTCCCAGCCCCCCCACAAGTCTTACCCCTGGTGAGGCCTGGGAGGGAGTGGGGACAGACGGCTGGCAGACTCGGCCCCCCTCTGCCTCCCGCAGTGATCATTCTGAGCATCCTTGAGGTCATTATCATCTTGCTGCTCATCTTTCTGCGGAAGAGAATTCTCATCGCCATCGCGCTCATCAAAGAAGCCAGCAGGTGGGTGCCAGGGTGCCGGGGGCTGGGCTGGGGTGGTCCCAGGGCCTCCCGGGCTCTGATGCCTGTGTCTGCTCTTCCCCAGGGCTGTGGGATACGTGATGTGCTCCCTGCTATACCCACTGGTCACCTTTCTCCTGCTGTGCCTTTGCATCGCCTACTGGGCCAGCACTGCTGTGTATCCACCCTCAGACCCGGACACCTGACCCCGGGGGTGGCTAAGGGCCAAACTTGCCTGGAAGTCACCTGCGACTTGGGGGGCAGGGCCAGAACCCAGTGGGGGGATGGATCCTTTCTCACGAGCTAGTGGGACCTGTAATCCCAAAACTCAGGTTCCTTAACGAACCTCCAGCTTCCTGTCCACTTCCAACGAAGCGGTCTATAAGATCTTTGATGACGGCACCTGCCAGTTTGCTGGAAAAACCTGCAACCCTGAGGTGGGGGTCGGCTATTTCGCCAGCAGCCCACAGATTATTTGAAACCTCTTGACCCCACTTGGGGACCATTCAACAAACATTTGGTGCCTACTGTATACCCTGTGCTGGATTTTGGGAACATCGAGGGGAAGAGACCCAACTTGGTGGCCCCCACCCCACCCTGAATGCTGAACTAACTACCCATCTTTCTCCCCGTGACTTCATTTCCTGCCCCATATCCCTCCCTTAACCTAAAGATGGCCACTTCTTGCTTCTGGAACCCCTTACTTGCCTTTCATAAGCCCCTATCCTGAACTTTGTGGTCCTTGTACTGATCTCTGCCATTCTTGTCCTGTCCACGTGGCTGCTGTATTGACACATGACCCCACCCTGATCCCCAGGATAGCTTATCCTGTCTCTCTGACACCCATGGAGTCAATGTTCCCGTCTTGCTTCTAAAACCCCTTTTATAACCCCCAGTACTGAATCCTCACCCCCCGCCCATCCCTTGACTTAACTCTGATTCCCGTGACTCCTGTCCCACCCCATGGTCTATCTGACCCAGACCTGATGCCCGGAACCCACACGGAAACCCGGGCCCCTCTGGTGTGACATGGCTCTGCATCCCTCCCGCAGACCTTCGCCTCCTCCAACGAATCCCGCCTGTGCCCTGGTGCCCACTGCCAGTTTGCCTTCTACGGTGGTGAGTCGGGCTACCATCGGGCCCTGCTGGGCCTGCAGATCTTCAATGCCTTCATGTTCTTCTGGCTGGCCAACTTCGTGCTGGCCTTGGGCCAGGTTACACTAGCTGGGGCCTTTGCCTCCTACTACTGGGCCCTGCACAAGCCAGATGACCTGCCTGCTTTCCCACTCTTCTCTGCCTTTGGCCGGGCACTCAGGTGGGTCTCCCAGTGGCTTGGGGGTGGGAACAAGATGGAGTGGAGGAGCCTTGGTCCAGCCACTGACCATCTCTTTGGCCCGCAGGTACCACACAGGCTCCCTAGCCTTTGGTGCCCTCATTCTGGCCATTGTGCAGATCATCCGAGTGATGCTTGAGTACCTGGATCAGCGCCTGAAAGGTAAGGCCCACCAGTGGCTGGCATTGGCTGCTGGGGGGCAGGGCTGAGGGGCACGTGGAGATTCGTTTTTAGGGGTGGGGTTAAGGCAATGGGACTGTGATTGGTTCCTGCTTGGGGAGCATGGGGGGGGGCAGTTTGAACGGTGAGTTCCTGGAGCTGCTAGGATGACTGAGGGAGCCCATTGGGTGGAGTTCTTACCTCTAGGGGGGCAGGGCCAAGAGGCCCGGGCCACCATTGGTTCCTGAAGAGGCTAAGATTTGTTTGTGCGAAAGGCAGGGCTAAGACTTTATTTTTAATTTGCAGTGGTGAAGCTGGGATTGGTTATTCTTTGGGGAGGGGCCAAGGACTCCGCAAGGATTGGCTTCTGAGTGGGAGGCGGGGCCAGGGCAGGAGTGTGTGGGTTGTGATTGGCTCCTGCCTAGAGGTTGGGTTGAAAGGCTTCATCACTAGGCCCTTCAAGGGGCTCTGGACTGAGAGTCCTGGAGCCAGTTGGTTCCTACTTGGGCGAGGGGCAGGACCCCGAGGGTTTTGGATTCTGGATCGAGTTCCCTCTCCTTGTCCCTTGGAGTACGTGGGCTCCAGGAGTCCAGGACTGTGCATGTAATAAGGAGGTGGGGGATGGGGGTCCCCCAGCGAGGGTCTCCCTTCACCTCTGCATCCCTCCGTTTCCTCTTAGCTGCAGAGAACAAGTTCGCCAAGTTCCTCATGACGTGTCTCAAATGCTGTTTCTGGTGCCTGGAGAAATTCATCAGATTCCTCAACAGGAATGCCTACATCATGGTGAGCAGGCCTGGGACGCAGAAGCAGCCCGCCAGCTCCTGCTGGGTATGAGGAACCCTCACTCCCAGCCAGGGGGCCTGATCCCCCCCCTTCATCCCTCCAGATTGCCATCTACGGCACCAACTTCTGCACCTCGGCCAGGAATGCCTTCTTCCTGTTGATGAGAAACATCATCAGGTCAGGGACAGCACCATCCTCCAGCTGCCTCCCTTCTCCCCCAGTCCCTGTGCTCGTATTCATGCCTGCTCCTCACTGTCCCCTGCAGAGTGGCCGTCCTCGACAAAGTTACCGACTTCCTTTTCCTGTTGGGCAAACTTCTGATTGTGGGTAGCGTGGGTGAGTACCACCGGCCCGCCTGCCTGGCTGTGGGAGCCTGTCGGGGTGACCTGTGAAGTGCTGTTGGGCCCCGATGTCTTCCTTGAGCCAGAACCCTCACCCATCTTGGTTTCCTCCCTCTCTTCAGGGATCCTGGCTTTCTTCTTTTTCACCCACCGGATCAGGATTGTGCAGGACACAGCACCACCCCTCAATTATTACTGGGTCCCTATACTGGTATGGACCTTTGGGGGTGGGTGGGGGTCCAGGGAGAAGGAGGTGGCTGGGGTCTCCTGGTCTCTTTTGACTAGACAGATATGGATGGAGGCCAGAGGTGGGGGGTGGATTATTTATTCAGTCTGCAGACATGTAGTAAGCACCTACAGTATACCAGGCCCAGGGGGGAGAAAGGGCTTCCTTCCAGAGGACCTAACGTTTCCGAGGCAAATGGACCTTAGTGACTACCGATGTGGGTGGATGCATGATTACAAACGGATATGTGCCACCAAGGAGGGTTCCAGGGAACTGTGAGAGCCTGTGGTGGAGGATTTGGGCAGGTCTGGAAGGCCAGGTGCCTTCACTGTGGAAGTGATATCAGATCTAAGATCTTAAGGAGAAACAGGGAACCTCCAGCCGGAGGAATCAACAAATACAAAGGCCCAGAAGTGGGCCTATGCCAGGAATGAATAGTGAGGAGACTGGTGTGGGGGGAAAGGGGTGGGGATGAGGGCAGGGACGTGATGGGGCCACCAGGGGGTAAGGTCATCACCCTGAGAGCAGTGCAGGCCTTAGAGCCCAGTGACCTAGATTTTTATCTGAGTTCTCTATTTGCTGCCCAAAGATGAGTCAGGTTGAGCAAGTTATTTAATCTCTCCATGGTCCACTCGCTTCAATCCATACATGTTTATCAGATACCTGCCAAGGACCTGTGAGTCTCCAAATTGCTGGGGGGATAGCAGTAAGTGGGACAGATACTGTCTAGTGGGGAGGAGGGCATTATCCCTGTAATGCCCTAAACGTGCATAAAATTGTGGCCAGATCTCAGAGGTCAGGTGTGCGGTGCTAGGAGAGCATAAAATGGGGCCTAGATGTCAGAAGCAGCTTCTTGGAGAAAGTGGTACCTGAGGACTTGATGTTTGAGCTGAAAGCAGAAGGATAAGGAGACCAAAACTAGACTAAGTCAGGACAAAGGCCCTGGGGTTGAAGAGAACAAGGCGTGAATGGCAGGGCTTAGGATGTTATTCTAGGGAGGGCTCGTCAGCAGGGAAACAGCTGCCGGAGCCTGGGAGGGCGTGTGAGCGGGAGGTGCTCTAGGAGCTGGGGTGGAAACAGCGTGGCTCCTCTTGCTAGACGGTGATCATCGGCTCCTACCTGATTGCCCATGGCTTCTTCAGTGTCTACGGCATGTGTGTGGACACGTTGTTCCTCTGCTTCTGTGAGTGACCCCTCAGCCCAGCCCTTGCCAGGCCCTGACTGCCTTCTCCCCTCTGGGCTTAACATCTGATGGGGCTTTGTACTGGACGGCCGGGCGCCCCCCGCTTCCCTGGGGACCCGGCTGTGGCGTGGCAGAGGGCCCTGGCATGCATTCTCAGCCTCCTCCCTACGCTCGGAGCTGCTCCGACCCCTTGCCCCCTGGTCCAGGCTGCAGCTACAACGCTGCGCCCCTGGGCCCTCGGCTTCGCAGTCTCTGGCTTTGTTGGGGGGGGGGGAATCTGTGGCTGCTACTAACTCTGGTCTCTCCATCTGTCTTTTTTTTGTTTTTTTGTTTTTTCTTTTCTCTTCCTCTACTCCATGCCTGCTGGCTTCCCTGTTCTTCCCCGCCTCCCTCTTTCCCTCCCTTCCTGACCACCCCATTTCCCCCCTGCCGGTTCCTGGGGGGAGCCCAGGTGAGGACCTGGAAAGGAATGACGGCTCTCAGGAGCGACCCTACTTCATGTCGCCCGAGCTGAGAGACATCCTGTTGAAGGGGAGTGCGGAGGAGGAGGGGAAGCGGGCAGAAGTTGAGGAGTAGAGAGCGAGGGAGGCGTGGGGGCCGGGCAGGCCTCCTCGTTTCCTCCCTGTAGACCGGGGGTGCATGCGGGGTGACCCTGCCTGGGAGTGCGGGGAGCGTGTGTGTCCTGTTCCCGAGCCCACCAGAGCCTGCCCCTCTGTGGTCCCAGTGTGTCTTGCTTCCTAACCCTCTGAGGCTTCTCTGTGGCCCTGGTCCTTGCGCCCTGTCCCCGGAGGCCCCTGCCCATGGGCTCCCCTCATGCCACCGTCTCTGGGGCCTCTCTCCGCAGTGGAGGACCTGGAGAGGAATGATGGCTCAGCCGAGAGGCCTTACTTCATGTCTCCCAACCTTAAGAGGCTCTTGAACAAGACCAACAAGAAGCTGGCAGAGTCCTAAAGGCCCCGCTCCCCGCCCCCCCACCTTTCCAGAAGTCTCACACTGGGTGCTCGGCAGCTGGGTCAGAAGCCCTGGCCCCTGGGCTCACCTGAAGTCCTATCACTGCCGCCTCCCCCCTCCCCTCCACCGCCAACCATCCAGTTATACTGCTGGATTCCAGGGACCTGGAGGATTTGGGGCATCTCCGTCCTGTGCCAAGGGGCAGTTGGATTTTCACGGCAGCGCCCCAGAACTGCACAGGTCACTGCAGCCCTCACTGGCCTGGACGGTGGGGAGAAGTCTGGTGAGGCCTCTTGACGTCTGGCATGCAGCGGGGCCTGGGCCGCCTCATGCTTCCTGTTCCCCTCTGACAACGGGGCGGCCTTTGTGTCTGCAAGAGGGGTGGCTCTAGCAAGCTCCAGCTTCTAAAGGCCCCCCCACGTTCGTTGGCTCACTGGTGTCTGCCCAGGCCAGGACTGAGCCCCTCCTCCGCGGCTGAACAGCTGGCACACAGGCTGCCACACGCATTTCTTTATTATTTTTTAACCTGGACATGCATTAAAGGGTCTATTAGCTTTTTCTGTCTGTCTCAACGGCTGAGATGGGGCCAGCTGTGGAGTGCCTTCTGTCCCCCCCTCCCCACCGAGCATGGCTGGGGTGGGGGGAGCGGTGGCATGGCCAGGTGGGGATGTCTCCTGGCATGGGAGGCCACAGCAGGGGGATCCTGGAAGGAGAGGGAGTGAGTCTGTCGGGGGAGGGCAGCAGGGAGCGGAAGGTGTGGAGCCGGCCCAGAGCAGGAGGGAGGAGCCCACTAAGAGCTGCTTAATGGAAACCTGCTGGTGAATGTCCCCCCATCTGCCAGTTCTCGACACAGCTCTCTTTGTAAGAGAGAAAGCAGCTGAATCCACCCAAGGGACCGTGTTAGGAGAAGGGGTGGGGGCAGATGCTGTGGGCAACCCCCCTACCCCCACCCTATCACTTCACCTTGAGGATCTTTTTGCCAAATTTGTTGAATGCTGGGGACCTCCAGGTCCCACCCCCACCCCACCCTGACCCCGGGCCATATCCCCAGGCCCCTGACTTCATGCCTTTGCTCATCAGCACCTTGGCAGCCTCCCAGAGAGGGAGAAACCCAGCCTGGGGTCCCCGTCTCCTGTGCCTGCCTGCCAGCCCTCAGGCCCCCCGGCCTGTTTGCACACTCTCGCGTGTTAACTGCATTCCAACCACTAATAAAGTGCCTATTGTACAGAGCCCGGGCCTGGAGTGTTTGTGGAGGGAGTAGGAGGCTGGTAGGGGGAACCCCCGCTTCGCTGGTCCTGGGATTGAGCCTCTGAGCTGGGCCGAGTCCCCTGAGGGAACGAGGGAGGGCAGGAAGGCCTCTGTCTGCCGGCCCCATCTCTGCCTGAACTGCACGGTGCAGGCAGCTCAGGTTTCTCCTGAACAAAATGCCTCTTATGAGGCTCTGCTCCCCGGACTCCAGAAGGCGACAAAGGCCTGTCCACCTCCTCGGTCACACAGCCTGGACACATGCCCCCAGGCCCTGGCACCTGAGGCACCCACATCTAGTCCAGCCTCTTGGGACCTGCAGAGCTGCGAATTGCTAAGCTCCTGCCCGGCCGCCTCCAGGCTCGCTGCTGCCCCCTGCTGCCAGCTATCTGTCACTGTCACTGCTGGGCCCAATGCCACGCCTTCACTGCCTGCCTTTGTATCTCCACCCTTGGAATTTAATAGCCACCTTTCCTTTTCTTTTTTTTCTTTTCTTTCTCTTCTCTTCCCTTTTTCTTTTTTCCTTTTTCTTTCTTTCCTCTTTTCTTCTTTCTTTCCTTTTTTTTATTCAGGAAGTAGGATTTATGAATAGGGTTGAGGTGGTGTAAGGTTCTCATGAGTGCAGAGCCCTCCGTTTGTCCAAGCGGCCACGATTAGGGATGTATCTGACCCCAGGGCCATCTGGGATGAGCCGTTTATCAGCCACCATGTCATCAAATTCATCCATGATGAGGAAGCCTGGGTGGTTGATGGTCTGCCCTTGGCTCAGGGCGTGGTCCTGGAGTCCTGGGTTGGAGTCTCACATCCAGCTTCCAGAATGGCGCTTGCTTCTTCCTCTGCCTATGTCTCTGCCTTTCTCTGTCCCTCTTGAATAAATAAAATCTTTTTGAAAAATTAAAAAAAAATTCGTCCGGATTAAACTTAGTAAAGCTCCACTTCTTGGAGATGTGGATCTTCTGGCAGCCAGGGAACTTGAACTTGGCCCTGCATAGGGCCTCAAACACATGCTCCTTATTCTGCAGCTTGGTAAGAGGGACATGATGACTTGGCCAATGTGGACCCTGGCTACTGTGCCCTGGGGCTTCCCAAAGGCACCTTGCATACCTGTCTGTGGCCTAGATTGGAAATAGCATGATGTCAGATCTCAAAGTCCACCATAAAGGCTGTCTCCAAGGTCCCTTAGGGCAACCCATACAATCAACAGGCTGTATACACTACCAAGGACACTACTATTTGCAGTCATGGCACACTGGGCCCTTGAGAGCACAGTCGGCTTAACAGACTGCAGAATAGCCACCATTTCTTCAGTCCTTCCTAGCTGCATACCATAAGCCACTTCGTAATTATTTGAGGCCAGAGATTGGGCATTTCTAAACGTTGCCCGGTGGGAAAGGGACTTAGAAGGCATTTGCACCCAGGTCTCCTCGATCCCAAGCTCTTACCTGTTATCCTGTACCATCACTCTCTGGGGTCCCTTGTTTGCTTCAATTGTCTGAGTCTTTTTCCCTATCCCCAGTGTCTGCTAGCCCTGCCTCCAAAAAACCTTACCACCCCTCCCCGTTCAGTCCCCCTTGTCACTCACCTGAACCAACGTGGTCTCTTGCCCAGGTCCCTGGCCCCTGCCATCACCTCCCCTTCTCCACAGTTCCCCACACAGGTGCAAAATGTGCTTGTGAACACTCTAGTGAGTTCACACCCTTTCTCTGCTCAAGAACCCTCCATGGCTTCCACTTTGTTCAGCATCACAGACGGTCTTCACTGCAGCCCATGAGGCCCTGTCCCATCTGCCCCATCAGCAATCCTTCGCTGACTGATCCAGCCTCCATGGCCCCAGGGCTTGTGCCCGAAAGGATCCCCCCTGGCTTTTTGTGTGGCTAGCTCCTCATCCTTTGGCTTTCAGCTCAGGGATCACCTCCTCCAGGAAGCCTCTAGTGATCAATGAAGGTTGGCCTCCCTTGGTGACCACACATCACTCTATTTTTTTCATGGCATTTGTCACAATCTGCATCTATTTATGTTTAAAATTTTTTATTTATATTAGAGATAGTGCACAAGCAAGGGGAGTGGCAGAGGGAGAGGGGAGAAGCAGGTTTCCCCCTGAGCAGGGAGCCCAATGTGGGGCTCCATTCCAGGACCCTGAGATTATGACCTGAGCCTAAAGGCATACACTTTTAGCCAACTGAGCCACCCAGAAACCCTGCAATTATTTGTATTTTCATTTATTGTTTAGCCTCCCCAGCCAGAATATCAGCTTAAAGGGGATATAAATCTTGTCTTTTTTAACCACTGTATCCCACAGCAGGGCAGTGCACGGTACACAGTAGGTACTCAGTATACAGGCAGAGAACAGCTGAATGACTGCAAAAGCTTAGCCCAGTGCCCAGCCTGGGGGAAGTGCACAGTGTGAACCACTGTTATATTAGGATATGCCAGTGTTGAGGTTTCCAGTCTTTTATGCATGGTTAAAATTCTCTGGCTACTGTGTGCAGAGACTACTATACAAAAGTAGAAGCAGGAAGGCCAATGAGGTCACTGCAGGGGTGCCTGGCTGGCTGAATCAGTAGAGCATGTGACTCTTGGCCTCAGGGTTGTGAGTTCCAGCCTCACATTGGGCATGGCGCCTACTTAAAAAAAATTTTTTTTTTAAAGATTTATTCATGAGAGACATAGAGAGGCAGAGGGAGAAGCAAGCTCAATGTGGGGAGCCTGATGCAGGACTCAATCCCAGGACCCTGGGATTATGATCCAAGCCAAAGGCAGATTCTCAACCACTGAGCCCCCCAGGTGTCCCCAAAAAAAGATTAAAAAAAAAGTTATTGTTGGGCAGCCCCGGTGGCTCAGCTCAGCGGTTTAGCGCCGCCTTCAGCTCAGGGCCTGATCCTGGAGACCCGGAATCAAGTTCCATGTCAGGCTCTCTGCATGGAGCCTGCTCCTCCCTCTCCTGTATCTCTGCGCCCCCCCCCCGCCCCCCGTGTGTCTCTCATGAATGAATAAAATCTTTAAAAAAAAGTTATTGCACTCATCTGAGCACCTGCTGCTGGAGGACTAGACTCAGGTGATCTTGGTGAAGATGAAAAGCATACAGATTTGGAGTGTAATTTGAAGATGGAGTTCACTTGATTGATTGCATGTGCGAGAGAGAGAGAGAGAGAGAGAGAGAGAGAGAGAGAGAGAGAGAGAGGGAGGGAGGGAGGGAGAGAGAAGTCAAAGAAGCAGGAGGAAGCAGGGCTAGGAGGGGGGAAGCTCAGGTGGGGTCCTGCAGTAGGCACCCATTGCCTGACCTGGCAGGGAGCTTGGGAGGTTAAGTGACATCTCAGAGTTGTCCTGAACTGGTAGGTCACAGACTAAAGGTGGCCCAGGAACTGACAATCCCAGGCACATCTGGTTCTCCCGAGCGGGGGGGCAAGTGTCCAGTGTGATCCAGTCTGATCCTCTTGAGTATGTTGGCAATGTGATCCAGAGCCCAGGGTAGTTCTCTGAAGAATTGGTGTGCATGCAGTTGTGCAAAAGCCCACACAGCCCTGGCAAGGGTGCAGAGAGACGCTAGAGCTGAAGGGGTCTGGGCAGGTAGGTTTATTTTGGATGTGCTTTATACATAATCTCCAAGGGAAGTGGTCACATAGGCGGTTGGATGTGTGTGTTAGTACTTTATGGGAGAATTCTTGGTTGGAGGCATTTAATCGAGAGTGTTTTTGATCGTCTTTTAAAATATATATAAAGACTTTATTATTAGAGATTGAGAGAGCAATCTGGGGCGGAAGGGCAGAGGGAAAGGGAAAAACAGACTCCATCACTGAGCAGGGAACCGGACACCTGGCTCTATCCCAGGACCCCGGGATCATGACCTGAGCTGAAGGCCATTAACCGACTGAGCTACTCAGATGCCTGAGTGTTTTGACGGTCTTTGAAATCATGGGGCTGGCTGAGATCACCTGGTGAGTAAGTGAAGAGAGAGGTGAAGTCTGAACTCTGGGGAGAAGGGAAAAAAGTGAACTCAGGGGAGAGCCAGAGAGTGGTGGCGTCTGGAGCTAAGTGGAAAGCAGGAAGTGTGGGCACAAGTGCTCTTGGCTTTAGTGTGGGAGCAAATGAATGCAGGGACTATTTTCTAGTGCAGTAAGGAGGACATCAGCGCAGGGCAGAGCGTGCAGGCACGCTGGAAGCGTACCCGTAACAAGGTGTGAAAAATTGGGAGCATGCTGCATGAATGAGCAATGTTAGGATTGTGGGGTTTGGGGCACCCGGGTGGCTCAGTCGGTTGAACGTCTGCCTTTGGCTCACATCATGATCTGAGAGTCAGTCCTGGGATCAGGCTCTCTGCCCAGCAGGGAGTGTGCTGCTCCCTCTCCCTCCTACCTCAAATATTTTTTAAAAAGGATTGTGGGTTCTTTTTTCTCCTCCAAACTCACTGAGGTGTGAAGTGCCGGCAGTGGATTTAGTTTAGGATTGACAAAGGGGAGCAGGGGCTTGAGGGCATATGCAAGGGGAGATGTAGGAATGCTAGCTTTCTGCTGCCCCAAAACGGCCCACAGCTTTTGAAGCACTCAGGGTGAAAGCCAAGGTCTCCAAGGCCCTGCAGGACCATCCCACCCTTTCTTGGATGGTCCTCCCTCCCTCCTCCCAGCGGGCCTCCTTCCAGCCCCTCAGGCCTCTTTGCTGCTCCTTCCACAAGCACTGTCAACCTCAGGGACTTTGTACTGGCTGTTCCCTCTGCCTGGAAGGCTCATCTCCCAGCAACCTGCTTGGCCTCACTCCCTTGGCTCCCCTGTAACTTCCCTGTGCACTGCTCGACTTAAAATTGCACCTGCCCCAGCCCCACATCACCACCTCGCTTTATTTTCGTTCATTGCACTCACCACTACTTTGCTTATTTATCACCTGCCTCCCCAGCTAGGTTGGCTCCACGCAGGCAGGGCCACGGGATGGTTTGTTCACTGTGTCCCCAGCAGCAGCTCCTGGCCGAATAGCTTCAAGGCCAGCTCCTCCC